TGGGCCTGTGTTAATGGGCCTAAGTTTGTTTAGTGTTTTAAATTGTCTAGGTGTCCCATCACTAATCAGGGGCATTCCAGTCATTTCCTGTAACATTGTACTGTACTCTAATATAAATAATAGTACTGTCGACTGGGTCATTCAGTTCGACATTCTCAGCATCTCTTGGTCTTCTCCTCTCTTCTACTGCTTCGGCTATAGCATTTCAGCTTTCAAATACATTACCTTACCTTCTTCAAAAAAATTATTGAAAACACACAGGAAACTTCAAAGCATTTCAGTTAATTTTTCTTTAAGTACTCGAATGAAACCATAGTTGATCTACATAACAATGCAATTGCCAAGTTTTGATGCCCAAAAGAAATTATCTTAACCATTTGTAACAGGTATGTTCCTATAGATAATTACTCAAGGAACAATATATCCTTGAAATAAGGAAGCGTGTCAAAAACCAAACAGGTGAGGGTCAAGAGGTGGAAATACTTGCAATTACCACAAGTGTATTGTAGCAAAAAATTGAAGAATGTCTAACTAAGGAAATAAGAGATTAATTCAAAACACTTATCTTTTATCTTAAGTATAACTCTGCACAACATCATGTATACTACAGAATATATTGCAATTCAAACAGGACATTGCTGATTATCATCTCTTTGTATCAATGAAGATACAGGAGGTGCCATTGTGTTGTCTGTTCCTTTTGTAGAAGACTCTTCCTCGACCATGAATAGCTGCATGTCAGGATTATAATATTCTTTTGAAATTCCACTCGGACTTGATGAGCTTTCCATCCTAAGCTTTGATGAACTAGAGTTGTTCTGAAGCAGAGAACTTGGGCCAGAAGTGGACTGAAAAGAGCCAACTTCACAAGGTGTTGTCCGGTAACCCTCTTCAGTTTGCCTTTTATATAATTTATCTTCCACAATATCATAAAAATCTACTGTCCTAACTTCCTGAGCAAGAGAGCACGAACAACAGAAAAGCCACTGTGCACAATCAGTCACTGCTGGCTTACCACAACAGAAGCCATTATCAGGTAATTTGAACTTCTTCCTCATCTGGATCCTCCAGAAGCCCCCATACAGCAAACCAAATACACAAAGCACGATCCCTGTCACCCCCAATGCCTCCCTAACAACCTCATTGTC